AAAACAAAGCTCTTGCCTTTGATTTAGTATTTTGGGATGCATTAGTGATGCATTATTAATGTAGTGAGGAGGTTGCTATTTTTAGGCCTGGTTAAATTAGGAATAGAAGAGGGCAGCCATATAGGCAAAATTTAGTATGTGGAATTAAAATGTTACATAGCTGGGATAATTTGAAGAGTTGACTATGAATCTGTGCTTGATGGTTTTCGCTTGAAACGTATAAGATAATTGGGGATCCCTGAGTGGCTCAGCGGTTGACCTTCTGCCTTCGACCCAGGGTGTGATCCTGGAGTCCTGTGATCGAGTCCCACATCGGGCTCCCTGCATGGAACCTGCTTCTCCCTCTGCCTGTGTCTCTGCCTCTCTCTCTCTCTCTCTCTCTGTGCCTCATGAATAAATAAATAAAATCTTAAAAAAAAAAGAAATGTATAAGATAATTGGTCAAAACATACATCTTTTTAAAAGAATATCCTCCTTATACTGCTAGTTTAACTTTTGTGAGGGAAAATAAAATTGCCTCTGAATCTTTGAACAAAGAGGAAAAAGTATAACAACTACTCATGATTTGGTTGGGGCCCAAATCCAGTTAGTTAGGCTCCGGCAAATGTTGAAAGGAAATGTCTCCTTCATTAGATACAATAACATAAAGAGGTTGTGGCTAATTAGAATATGTAGCATGTATCAAACTTTTCTAAGTGCTCCCAAAGAGCAAGACACAGTTAAAAATGGATTTAAAAATCTCCTTCCTTGGGATCCCTGAGTGGCGCAGCGGTTTGGCGCCTGCCTTTGGCCCAGGGCGCGATCCTGGAGACCCCGGATCGAGTCCCACGTCGGGCTCCCGGTGCATGGAGCCTGCTTCTCCCTCTGCCTGTGTCTCTGCCTCTCTCTCTCTCTCTGTGTGTGTGACTATCATAAATAAATAAAAATTAAAAAAAAATAAAAAATAAAAAAAATAAAAATCTCCTTCCTTAACATTCTAATTGGACTTACAAGATTAAAAGATAGGCAAGGATAAAGCTCTGTGCCATTAAAACATATGGAAAATGAGTTCTGTGATAACTTAATAGTAATTCTGGGCCTATTCCAAATTACCAAAACCTATCAAAATTCACATTTTTTGACTTATCGACCAATCTCAAGTGCAATTTGGGAGGAAAGAAGGTAAATTGGAAGTTAAAAATAATTCTGGAAGTCTACCTGGCTTGGATGGAAATCTGGAGGTGGAGTCATGATCTTCCTGTGAAACCTACCTGAATAAATGTTAACTATAACTTGACCCTAAGCTTGTCTTCATTGTTGGAAAAGATTGGGGTTATTCTTCATTAGTAGAGAAGTCTACATGGAACTGCATGAGTTACATTTTTCCTTGACTGAGGAGAAAAATGGGTAGGAACGGGGAGAAAGAAATAGAAGCAAGCAAGGAATATTGGTGGGTGGGCCCAGTGGTGTTGGGGAGGAAAGAAATGCACACAAAAGCACGGCTCCTACAGCTCTGGAGGTGGAAGGTGCCCCTGAGATCACCTGCCCTGTGGACTTCTGCTGTGTTCAGGGAGATCCAAAGCATTGAAGATCTTCCTCAGAGACAGAGGCAGGGAATAAAGGAGTAGCCTAACGGGTGGGGCTCGGGGCACCCCACACCCTCTACAACCAAGCAGGGGTCCATCTGATTATTATATTTGGGTCCTGCATAAGATTTTGTATGAAAAAAGCCTCTACGGTATGGCATAGCAATATTTAAAAATCACTGGTGTTGGAGTCCCCTTGCACGCACTCCTGTTCCAGGGGCAGAATTTAGGAGAAGAGACAGCTGCAGAATTACGAGAAGAAGTAGCTAAGGATGGATGCTTGATATCTAGTCTCACCTATACATGCATTTTTCCCCCCAGCAAATATTTACAAAGCACCTACTAAGTAGCAGCCACCGTCCTTCCTATGCGCCACGTCTCGCAATATTCCAGGCCAAATGACCCGCCCACATAGCAACCGTTTTACCTCTCAGCCGGAGGGGAATGATTTGATAGGTTTGTATATAACAACTTTGTAAATAGAATTATTAAGAAACCACGAGCTTCCTTTCCCATCCATATTATAGAACTAGATTTGGGCATCTGAATGATGAGAAAAGCTAGCCATTTGTAATTCTAGTTCAAAAGATACTTGCTGTGTTCCAAAAATTGGCGGGAGGAGAGCTGCAAGGAGGGGTAAAAGCTGGTGCAGTGGGAACTGATGGCTTGGGCCCTGAGGAAGCAGAGGAAAAGAAAACCTAGTGCTTGGAACTCTGTCCCTTGCTTGTTAGAAAGAGCGCAGTGATGTCTGCAGGGGAAGCTACAGGCAGGCCCAGCATGAGAGCAGAGGCGGCTTTGGAGCTCGTAGGATACAAGTGGCCATGGACTGATATGCTCCAGAACATTCTAGTGTATTCCAGCATTCTGTGGCTTGTATCCTCATGGCAAGATCTCAGGGTACAGCTGAGGTTCTCAATCTCACTGTTTTAGAAAGCTGATTCAATTCCTGGCTTCTGAATGGTCTTTTCTATGGAATGTTGACCAAGAGAGGAATATTCTCTTTACCTCCCTCTGAAGTAAATTCCTATTTACTTGGGATGTTGGAAGAAGGGTGAACGACTCACCCAGGTTTGCCCAGGACTTTCCTGGCTTTAGGACTGGTAGTCCTGTGTCCGAGAAACACCTTCATTTTCAGGCACTCTGAGATGACTAGTCACCCTAAGGAAATAAGAGCCAAGTGAATAGACCGGGTATTTCAGGAACAAACCATTGCAGAAATTAGAGGCTTAAAACCACTTTAATTTTGTTTGCTTACCACGCTGCACTCTGCTGGGATCAGCTGGGCGGTTCTTCTGCTGGTCTTACTGATGATCCTGTGGCTGCATTCAGGCAGTGGGTCAGTTGGAGGCTGGGGTTCCCCCTTTCTGCCGTGGCCTCTGCAAGGGACTTTTCACATCAGGGTAGCTGAACCTCTACATGGTGGCACCAGGCTCCCCCGAGTGCCAAACCTGCGTAGCTTCTTAAGGCTTAGGGCTGCAACTGGCACAATGTACTTCCACTCTATCTTATTGGCAAAGGCCAGTCACAATGCCACTGTAGTATCAAGGGGAGGGGACTTCCCAAGGAGTGAATACTAAGGGGTGGGGGGGATGGCTACGGCTGTGACAATCTACTCCAGAGGCAGAGAGATACTCACTTGGATTCACAGGTTTCAGGTGCCTGATTGACCTCTGACTGACCTCTGACCTGCTTGCTGGGCCACCTGCCTTACTGCTTCACACTCTCAGACCTGAATACGAATAGGTTCCCCATTGGTCAGCATCTTCAAGAGCTCTGGGTAAGGTGTACCACCCAGTTATCCCTATTTTTCTTACTTCTGGTCAGCGCACCGAGCATGGCGAATCCCTGTTAGGGTCGCCATGTTTGCCTAGAAAAACAGGTTAAGAGGCCTGGGTCTGAAGTGAGGCAACAAAGGACCTGATTCTGCCACGGGACACTTCTGGGCAAGTAAGTGTCCATGCCAGGGCATCTGATCCGGGTAGGACCGCACAGGCCACCAAGCACTGCATCTTGCTTAAAGGGACTGATCCCTTCTCAACACGCAACCTCCCTACCTCGGAGCCTACATCTCCTCTCCAAGTCTGAACACGTGTGGGCACAGCTTCCCTCTCTCCTGCAGCTCTAAGCCCTGAACTGACTTGGTTCCCCGCCTCCCCCCACCCCCCCAAGCTTTCCTCCCTGGGCTGTGAGCCTCCAGGGCACAGGGCGAGGCCTGGCTTTCTGGAACACACAGGCGGGGAGGGGTGCACTCTCTAGACGAGCCCCCCCCATCAGAACACCTCCAATCTTGGCTTCCCCATTCCCGCCCCATCTTTCCCTGCCTCTTTTCCCTTTTTCTTTTTCTTTCTTTATTTTTTTTTTTTTGCTGGAAAGAATGGGGCCCCTGTCGGCCTCCCCCAAAACAAACTGCCTTGAAGGAGCCTCGGGGTTGCCCCAGGGCCCTGGGACTGCTGCAAGGTCCTGTCCCCTCTCGCCTCCCGACCTCCTCTAGCCCTACTGTGTGCACCCCCTGGGCCTTCTGACTTCTGGCTCCATCCTCTCATTTCCTCGACGCCCGGCTGGGTACCCGGCCAGGCCCCGCGCCTTCCGCCTCCGCTCTGTCGCTTTAAGTGAGTCCCAGCGCTGCGCCCCTCCCTCACCCCTGCCGCAGCTCCCCCCTCCTCCTCTTCCTCCTCCTCCTCCCCTCCCCTCCTCTCCCGCTCCTCCTCCTCCTCTCCCGCTCCACCTCCTCCTCCTCTCCCGCTCCACCTCCTCCTCCGCTCCTCCTCCTCCACCTCCTCCTCCTCCCCCCTCCCCTCTTCTCCCCTCCCGCTCCTCCTCCTCCCCCTCTCGCTCCTCCTCCTCCCCTCCCCCCTCTCCCCTCCCCCCTCTCCCGCTCCTCCTCTCCCCTCTCGCTCCTCCTCCTCCTCTCCCCGCTCCTCCTCCTCCACCTCCTCTCCCGCTCCTCCTCTCCCCTCCCCTCCCCTCCTCTCCCCTCCCGCTCCTCCTCCTCTCCCCTCCCCTCCTCTCCCGCTCCTCCTCCTCCACCTCCTCTCCCGCTCCTCCTCTCCCCTCCCCTCCCCTCCCCTCCTCTCCCGCTCCTCCTCCTCCACCTCCTCCTCCCCTCCCCCCTCTCCCCTCCCCTCCTCTCCCGCTCCTCCTCCTCCACCTCCTCCTCTCCCCTCCCCTCCTCTCCCGCTCCTCCTCCTCCCCTCTCGCTCCTCCTCCTCCTCTCCCGCTCCTCCTCCTCCTCTCCCGCTCCTCCTCCGCTCCTCCTCCTCCACCTCCTCCTCCACCTCCTCCCCCCTCTCCCCTCCCCTCCTCTCCCGCTCCTCCTCCTCTCCCTCCCCTCCTCTCCCCTCCCCTCCTCTCCCGCTCCTCCTCCTCTCCCCTCCCCTCCTCTCCCGCTCCTCCTCCTCCTCCTCCCCTCCACCTCCTCCTCTCCCGCTCGCCCTCGCCGCCGCCGGCCCTCCGCCCGCTCCGCCGCCCGCCGCCGCCGGGACCCGCAGCCATGGCCGACATCAAGACCGGCGTCTTCGCCAAGAACGTGCAGAAGCGACTCAACCGCGCGCAGGAAAAGGTCGGCGCGGGCGGGGGCGGCGGGGCCGAGGGGCTGGGGCGGCGGGGCCGGGCCGGGGCGGGGGGGCATCCGGGCGCGCGGTCCCCCGGGTCCTCCGGGTCCCCCGGGTCCTCCGAGCCCCCCGGGCCCCCGCTCTCCCGGGCGCGGACGCGGGCGCGGGCGCGGGCGGCGGCAGGTGCGGGGGGAGGCTCGCCCGCCGCCCCGAGCGCAGCGCATCCCCGGGACCCCGCGGCCGACCTCCTCCGGGGCTTCTGGGGCACCGGGCGCCGCCGCGGCGACGCGGGCAGCGGGGGAGCCGCCCCCAAACCTGGACGGAGGCGGGGGGGGGGGGGGGGCATCGCGGAAGGCAGGGGCCCCGCCGCGGTGCCGGCCCGTGAGTCCTGGAGTTCAAAACAGAGCCCTGGGCGCACGCTTCTTCTGTGCTGGCTGTGTTGGTTCTCTCTCTCTCTCTCTCTCTCTCTCTCTCTCTCTCTCTCTCTCTCGACTCTCAGTGTGTGTCCCTTTTGACGCCACTGTCCTCTGGAAGGTCAAGAATACGTGTGACCTGAACCTAACAGTTCTTCTCTGCACATTTCTGCACAAAGGAGGGCGTCCTATTGCATTTAAAAAAAAAAAAAAAACCCACGTTGCACGTACAGGTTGGGTTCCCTAACGGATCCCGGGTCTGTACTACAAGCGCAGCCCTGAGCAGTGGGGCTCCGGGGCCAGGCTCTGGGCTTGCGGCGCTCCCCCAAGCCTGCTGCTCATCAGGACCTTGCGGCCGCCGAGCTCCTCATTTGTGTCTCCGCTGAAGGACCTTCCTACTGCAGCCTGAGCATCGTACTTGCACGTGAACCCTGGCGAATTGAGCCCCGGGCGTGTGTCCGCCTTCATGTGGCAGCGTTTTCCGTCCCTGGGATTCTGGGTGTTTGGTGTTTTCCTCTTTTACTGGAAGTCAGGTTTGCCGCGTTGCTCAAAACCACAGTGAATTTCCTTCTTCAGGCCCCGGCTCAGGCTGCCCCCCAGCCCCCATGCACCTGGAAGGACTGAGAAGGGGGCCCTGGTCCCCTTGCCTGTCCCCAGGCCCACAGGCCCTGTGGCTGCGGCCAGTCCCTCCCTCCACACATGCACACTCTCCATGCAGTAAGAGGATTGTATTTCTTTTAATATCTACCCAAGCTCGTCCTGAACCAACGTGATCCTCCTCCCGCCGCTCCTTCGCTCCTTCGGCAGCTGGCAGAGTTAGCGAGGCTTCCCGGCCTCTTCCAGTCCCTGCTTACTTGTCCCCAAAGTAGCCAGGAACCGTGGGGGATCCCAGCCCGGTTTTGTCGTCATTTTTTCCATACCTCATTTTACCCTCTTGTAGGTATTTCTCCCCACCTCTTCACTTCCAGGTGATTTTTTGAATCTTTGGTCTGACGCTTTTTATTGAATTCATTTTCCATCTGTGAAGGAATTTAGTGATAGAGTCTGTCTCTCCCCATATTAGAGGACTGCTTCATCTAGGTCACCAGCTGTTAATATGCCAAAAATAAATGAAAAGAAAATGTAATCTGTCTTACAGAGCATTCAAGCCCTTACGAATTATTGAAAACTCACCTTGTCACTCTCAAGTGTGTATTGTGATTGTGGTTGTGGAGGGTGGTTACTTTTCCAGGGGAGTGGAGGTTTAAGGGAGGCTAGCACAGGGCTTCAAGTGTCCTGTTCTCTTCCCCGGGGACAGTTGCTGAGGCAGAATGCCTGCTGCACCATGTTTAGGGGGTCAAGACCCGGAAAGGCTGAGAGTATGGGTTTTACTGGTGGGTACGCTCTTGCCCTTTTCCTGAGACTCTGCAGCACAAGGGAAAGGGCATATGGGAATCCAGGTCAGGTAGCCCAGGCCAAGCCCAAACAGAAGCTACTGGAGAGTGGGAGACATAGTAAGTTGCTGTTGCAGGCATTAGACATATCCACCCAGTGATTCCTTCCTTTTGCATCTTTGGACCGTGCCTCTTCTCTGATGCACAGAGTTCCATTGCGATATCTGTATGCCACATGTGTTCTTGAGTCCTTGACTCATTTTTACAGTCACATTTTCTCAAAAGAGAGTCTACTACGCCCTTGACTTTCTCATCATCTGTGCTATACCCAACAGTTGGATGCATTTTGGCTCCAAATGCATGACCGAAGCTCCTTTTAGAGGTGTCTTAGTTTTTTTTTTTTTTATAAATTCAAAATCCATTTTTTTTCTCATTGAAGGTCTGTGAAGGTTCAGTGGAGAAAGAGTGAAATATATATAAGCAAGAAAAAAGCTACCCACAAAAGTAGGATGATCATAATTACTACCCAGAAATTTCACAGTCCTTTGCTGTATATTCTAGTAGATCTTTTCCCTATGTACATGTGTATATTTATACAGCAAAACAGTCTCATACCTATAGTTTTTTAGCTGTTTATTTCACAGTAGTGATGTTACATGATTATTAATAGTCACGAACATACTTGAGTATGTACATATTTTCTGTCAACATTTTAAATGACTGAACAGTATTGGAATCCGTGGATTTTAATGAATCTCCTGTTTTTTGGACATTCAGTTTCTAATGTTTCTGAATATAAATACAAATCTGTGGGAAAGAAAACTTGTAAGGAAAATGTTTGCATACCCTGAAGTATTTCCTTAGATAAATCACTAGAATTATTATGTCAAAGGTATGCTTATTTTTCTTATAGCTAGATTGCCTTTCAGAATGATTTTATCAATTAACATTCTCACCAGGCGTATGTGACACTTGCCAACACTGGATAATAAAATTTAGAATGATCTTTAGCTATGTTATTGGAAAAAAATTAGTTCCTATTTATTTCATTTGTTTGGTTATTAAAAACCAAACACTTTTGTATTCCCTTTTTTGTTTTTCATTTGTGAATTGTGTATTTATATATTTGTCCATTTCGTATAGCATCTCCACCCTTTCTGTGTAAGGGCAAAAAGTATTAGTTCTAAAGGTTCCAAATATGGTTTCTTCCTTTTCTATTTACTTTTTTTTTTTTGATGAGTGTTTTTTCTGCCATAGAGAATGTTTATGTTTATATTTTGTTTATGTTTTAGGTATATCTGCTTAAACCTGTCAATTGGTTTTGTGTGGCTTCTCTTAGGTGTTGAATTAATCAGGGCCCTGTCACTTGTAAATATCAGAAAACTCAATTCAAACTGGTTTAAAGTAAAAGGGGAATGTAATTACTTAAAATAAAAGCATGGCTCTTGCACATAAATGAGATTTTTCAAATATAAATATGTATTTGTATTAACTATAAATATTCTTGTACATAGGTGTATATATAAATGTATGCATTTGGGTGCATTACATATATTAACTAATTAAATTCTATGAGGTAGATACTACTGGTGTCTCTATTTTAAAGATGAGGAAGGGGTTAAGTGACACGCCCAAGGTCATATAGTTAGTAAGTAGCAAAGGAGAAGTTTGAACCCAAGCAGTCCAGGGTGCTTTCCCATTACATGATACTACCTCTTATAATTAATGAAAAAGACAGGGGTAGACAAACTTCAGACCTATTGGAACCTGGAGTTAAACCACAGACATCAGGGCTCACATGCCTTTATCTCTGCTGTCCATTCTATCAGCCTCATTCTTGGGCATATTCTTCTCTCTTAGTGGCAAAATGGTTGTCAGTAGCTAGACAAGAGCATGGTTTTTCCTTTAACATTTACAGAGAACTCAGTATAGATAGCTCTCATTGGCCTAAATTGGGTCCTGTGCTTCTCCCTGGGAGGAAAAAAATCTCTCTGGCCAAGGACCAGGACCACATAACTTGGATTGGGCCAGAGTCACAAACTACTACTGAAGCTGGGATGGAGATGTTCCCCCTGGACCATATGGACTGCGGACAGAGAAGGAAGGAAAGTCAGAATATGGAAGGGAGAATGAATATTGCACTGACAAAATAAAAAATATCCACTAAGGGGCACCTGAGTGACTCAGTTGGTTAAGCATCTGACTTTGGTTTGGATCATGATCTCAAGGTCCTGGGATGGAGCCCATGGCTCTGTGCTCAGCAGGGGAGTCTGCTTGTTCCTCTCTCTCTCCCTCTGCCCCTCCCCCCAGTCGTCCTCTTTCCATTTCTCTTAAATAAATCAATTAAATCCTGAAAAAAGAATCCACTGAGGCATACTTACAAAAGTCTGTGTTTATATAAATAATCACATATCTAATAGTGTATAATATAGTATTTATTTTAAAGACTTATTAACAAATTAATATATGCAGCTTAAAAAATCTAATATAATAAAATAATGTAATGTAAAGGGCTTGTTATGAAAAGTAGTAGGCCTCTGTCCTCTTCCCTCAACCTCCAGTCTTGTTTCCCTAGAAGTAGCTATTATTAACCAGAACATCTAAAATATGCTTATATAACTACTTCTTGATTTTTTCTTATTTAGTGAAGATAGGCAAAGATTTAGTTGTCTTACATTCATCTCTTCTACATCCTCTAGTCAGAGATTATAGCAAAGATTGTTGATTGCTGAGGATTATATTTTTAAAAATTAAGTTATAATTTCTATTGAATAAATGATATAAATCTTAAGTAATCCACTTCATGAATTTTTATGTTTATGGATATCTGCATGGTTATCACCCAGATCGAGTTACAGGGCATTTCTATCATATCATATACCTGTCATCCCTCAGCCTTCTCCAGTTTTTTGTCCTTTTAAATTCCTTTAATTTAAATTCCTTTACTGTCATTTCCCTAATAAGCATCTTTCCATGTGCTTATTGGTAACTTTTATACCTTCTTTTGTGAAGTGTCTGTTAAAGTGTTTTGCCTATGTTTTTTTTTTTTATTTGGGTTCCTGGTCATTTTATTATTGATTTGAAGAACTTATTTATATATTCAGGATATGAATCTAGTCAAATACACATTTTGCAAGGATTTTCTCTCAGAAAGTAGTTTCCCTTTTTTGCTATCTTAATGGTGCCCTAGGATAAACTGAATTTTTAAATTTTTACCAAGTT